AGTCACACTTGCTGATGATCAATTGATCAAGGGCATTTGATTAGCAGCACCTGGCTGCTATCTAGCCTCTTCATACCTATAGAAGCAGTAAGGGTATACTTAGAACTCAACCATAGAACTCAAAGAGGGTATACTTTCTCAAACGATAGAACTCAAGGAGGGTGTACTTTCTTTTTCACACAACTGTACATTTTGGTTAGCATGAGATATGGACCAGTCAGAGGGTCTCTTGAGATAATGTTCAGCTTTCTGCTTCATTTGACCATTTGCTTCCTTTAACAACATGGCTACACTTTCAGCTTATTCTACTTTGACCATATGTCCTGCTGGAGATACTGAACTTGTTCTGCTCTGTCCCTCCTTTCACTGTTAACCCTAACCTGGATTACCTCCCTTTTTATTTAAATTTCCAGGGCACTCTGATAAGTTTTATTTGCATTACCTCTTAAACAACTAAGATAAATGTATTTCCCTAAAAGTAACAAAATTCTGCTACATTATTGTAGCATTGTAAGCTTTGCCCACAAATGGTTGCTAACAGTTATTGATGTTAGGAGATAATTTTGCTTTGTTTGTTTTATAGAATGTATTTTTATTGGTCAGTGGCTGAAATAAAGTTTCTGTCTGTCTGTCAAAGCAGCCTAATAGGGAGGGGAACTTTTCTCTTCTTTTTATATGGAGTACCTGTGATGTTCCCTTGGGGGTTATTTCTTGGGGGCAGCATAAAAAATGAGCAGGGTCATTCTTTTTCTCCTGTCATTCTGTGCAGTAGTTTGCTGGGTAAGGGACAAATTGCTTTTACTAGAAGATAACCAAGTCTACTTTACTGCTGCTATCTGGAATCTATATTGGATTTTGGGAAGGGGTTAGAATAATAGCTGTAAGCATAATGAAATTATGGCTGATTTTTAGATGGAAGGAATATGCTGCTTCTTTCTATGTACTTCTGTTTGACTGAAGACTCTTTCAGTAGTTCACATCAGTGCAATCTTATGCATACCTACTCAGAAGTAAGTCCCACTGAGTTCAGTGAAGCTTATTCCTGGGTGAGCGAGAATATGATTGCAGATTCCAACCATAGAAATAAAAACAGTTAAATACAAAGCTACATTTTCTTTGTAGTTAATCAACTTAATTCAGATATTGCAAATTAATCATTGGTAAGCTTACTGAATTACTGAAACCTAATGCTAGCATTAAGTTCCAGTATTTCAGTGAGCTTACCAATGATTAATTTTTGATAAAGTTGATTACATTTGCTCTAACAAAATAAAGTATGTCCTTGCCAGTATTTGGGATTTTTTTTTCTCTCCAGCAGGTTCTTCTGCTTTTAACAATTACATTGGCAAGCAAAAATTCCACGATGCAGTTAAGAGACTGTGTTTTAAAATATAAAAATATGGGAATATATATATCTGAATGCTTTGTTAAACTACAAGTTTGGTTTGTTCACAGTGAATTAAATGCCAAATCAAAAGATCTACAAATCAACATTGTAGAAAATGGGGAGTCAGATGGTAAGTACTGCAGGCAACTCATTCTCTCCAAAGAGATGCTTTAACTTATCTTCTGTATTTGCAAAACTGAGGAGAATGCTCAATGGGAGGAAGAGAGCAGCAGGAGAGACTGATGAACATAGAAGCCCAGATGTTCTTTCTCCAACCATTCTTTCTTCAATGAACTCTAAGCACATGCTGAAATCCAAGATCTTTTTAAAGCATGTATTGACTAACTCCGAGTCACTCTGCAGTGAGATGGGCAGTGACAAATTTGAAATATAAATAAAATAAAATAAAATAAACTCATTTAGCTTCAGAGTAAAGAGGATCAGCCAGCCATTAAGTACCACATGTCATGACTGGTTTAGTTATTTAGCAAATTTATGTGGCTGCCAATCTTAATGAGGTAACTCCGGGCAGCTTATAAAAATATAATAAAATTACCCCGCAAAAGCCACAAGGCAACACCAAATTAAAAAATTTATGAGGTTTCTCACAAGTATGATTAACAGTATAAAAACAAAACACATATGCTGCACTCCACTATCATCCTGGCCCCAGTGCCTGAGGAAAAAGCCTTCAAGGCTTTCCAGAAGGTCAACAGGATCAGGGCCATCTGGATTTCAGGGAGGAAGCTATTCCATGGGCCAAGCATAATGACAGAGGAGGCATGCTGCCTTGGTCCTACTAAATAGCATTGTTTCACAAAGGGGACCCAGAGCATGCCTACCCTGCCAGCTGAGGAGGGATGGGCAAAGACCAGTAGGGTCAGTGGTCCCACAAGTAACTTGACCCTGTGCAATGCAGGGCTTTGAAAATGACAAACAGCATTTTGAATTGCACCCAGAAACCTACATGGAACATGGGCAGATATGTATAACTGAGTATCATCAGCATACTGATGATTCTTAGCCCTGTGCCAACAAATTGCCTTACCCAACAGTTTCATATAGATGTTAAATTAGAGATGAGCCCTGGGGCACTCTGCAAAACAGGATTAGGGCTGGACCTCTCTTCCCCCATCAACCAGAACTGGAACCAATTTTAAAGGAGGAGAACCATCATGAAACTCTGCCCTGCACTCCCAGATCCCTAAGCCAGTTCAGAGTGTTCAATGATACTGAAGGTTGTTGAGAGACCAAGGAGGCTTAGGGCAGATACATTGCCCCCATCCCAAGCCTGCAGAGATCATCCATAAGTGCAGTCAATGCCATCTCAGTGTCACTGATAATATGGCTTCAAACTCAACTGCAGAGAGCCCAGGAAATCTGTTTCTTCCATGCCCCTTTGGAGCTGCAAGCCTACCACCATCTCAGTAACCACCTCTAAAAAGAGAAGGTTAGAGACTGGACAAAAATTGTCCAGTACTGTTGAACCCAGCAATAGCCTCTTGAGGAGAGGATGAACCACCACTTTCTTTAAAGCAGGCGGAACATGTCTCCAAGGAGGCCTTAACCAATCAGGAGAGACATGGGTAAAAAACATATGTGACAGGACTCAGAGCCCCAGTGGCCCTGTCTACTTCCTCAGTGTCTTCCTTATAAAGTCACAAACTGTACATTGGAAATAGTACCTTTTCTTCTGCTTTATTTCCAAGGTAATTATAGTTTTAATGTGATATGTCCCAGAATATTTAAAGCTTGGAAATTTTAATACCAAAATATTACAGTACTGAACAATTTAATAAACTGCTTTTGTTTTATTCAGGTGACTCTTCCATTTCTGCTAAAGTTCCTTTGGATTTATTCAGGAAACAGCCTTCTGGATTGCAAAGTTTTGCACTGAACAGCCAAGTCAGCAATAATACCTCTGCAGTAGGATCTGTCTCTGCAGAGGTAAAAAGTTTTAAACTACCTGCATTTTCTTTACTTGAATATATCCTGACCCAACTCATTTGACTCATAATGCATACAATGGTGAAATGTAGACATAAGAGTACAGTAAAATTGCCCCTGTCCCAGGCCCACCAGAGGTCATCTGCTTGTACATGATTTCAAAAAAAATTGGTGTATTGTCTCTTACAGGTTTTTAAAATGATTTGACCCATTCCTTTTTCCTACACAAGCCAGATATATTTTCAGCTATCTTTATTTTAAGATGCCAAGTAGATTTCTCTTTCTTTAGTTCTTGTATATAGAACCTTCAGAATCCAAATCACTGCAAGTTCCTACGAAGCTTCCTGTTGCAAAAGTAGAAAAGGATCGAACTGTGATGCCTTGTGGGACTGTGGTCACTACTGTTACTGCTGTGAAAGCCAAGACTTTAGTAGAAGGGAGATCATCTGTTCTGCATTCAGGTGAGAATCCAAGTGGAAGCCTTCATTGTTCCAAGAGCTTAACTTTTTAAGACAGTTTTGTATGCTAAAGGGTAAGATGAAAGACAGGATGGCTTATTTGGCTGCGGAACATTCTGAGACTGAAGACATTGACACATAATATGCATGCTATTTCTTAAAAAGGTTTTTTTATATTGAAAAAAGTGATCTTTTAAAAAATATATAAACTTAAAAATGTTCAACCTTTGAATCAATGAAAAGTAGTAGTAATGAACCTCAACCTTACACTTTACCTTGTAACAACCACTTCAACTCTGTATATAAAAGAAGTGGTTAATTACCCCTTTCTTTGCACAAAAGATCTTTAATGGGATTAGTGTTTTGGCTTCTGTACTTGCTTCTTTCATGCAGCGTGAAAATCCTGTTTCACATAAATGCAGTGAACAAAAGGGAAGAATCATTAGCACTGAATGCTTTGTACACATAATTTCAAAATAATTTAGTGAAAGTTCATTATTTTTTTTGTTCCATTTAGGAGTCAAAAATTAAGTTAGCTTTCATATTCATGGATTAGTAAACTGACTTGATTAATTAGCAGATGGATTTTAAACCCCCAAACTGTACTTTGAGGAAAATGTTGTAAGAGAGTAAACTACAGTATAACCATATAGGTGCTATAAAATGGTGCTGCAGATATCCTCACCTACTGACGTAGTTGGACTACATGGTTAACTTGATTAAAGGTATGCACCAACAAAATGTAGGTTAGGATGCCCAGGGGACTTTCCAATCCCAAAATGTGATTGTTCACTCTGTAGTGCTGGTGTATGTCTTCTTTCCCTTTATGTTTTGGATTTTACCTCAAGGGTACTTTCCTTGCTTCAACAGACTGCAAATTTAAAAGCGGCAGCCATTTTATTTCTCTGTGTTGGGATAGGAAGTCCTTTATTGATGCAAGAAAAGCACTTTTAAAAATAATGATTTTTAAAAAGCCACCAAATTTTCCCTCAGGCAGTTGCCCAAATTCTCAGTTGCCAAGGAACCAGGTAATCAGTGACTTTTTTTTTTTTTTAACATGATACCTATTCAGCTCTGTTCCCATAGAACCAAAGCACTGGATTGTCTTGATTATTTTACATAAAGCCGAATAAGGTGTCCCAATAGCTACAGTGCCTTCTGTAGCAAGCTTTAGTAGAACTGTAAAATGATCCATAGTAGTCATTTTAGTACTACTGCCACATTAAATGTTTAAAATGTTTTTTAATTCGGTGTCAAATAGTAAAATAATATTATACAGTTTTCAGAAGTAGTATAAATGGAAGACAAATTGTGCGTCTTTTTGCATACTCTTGCAAGGTGATAAACATTGGAAAAACAGGTTTCAAAAGATGAAGCAAAACCCAACATCATGCAGCTTTTCTGCTGATGCATGGGTCCCCAGTTCTGTTTGGGAGAGTTGCCCAGCTCCTCAGGCAAATCTTGAAGGTACATGGAGGACTGCAGAAGGGAGAAAGATTCCCCTTCCTGCTTCATCCACTGAACAGGAAGATTGAGTTGGATTCTACTAATTAAAAAGAAGTTGATGTGAGAACTTGCACAAATTTTAACTTTTTCTTGTTGTGAATGAATAACTTGCCAAGGTTTACCAAGCACATTTTATTAAGAAAGGGAAAAGGGAGAAGAACATTGGGGACCAAATGAAATGGCAAGCTGCCATCAGAGAACTTAAGAGCACGGTGGAATACAGTATATTCTTTCTTTGGGTGGACATTCTACTGGGAAGATTAAACTGTAATGCATTAAATCATAGAACCACCTATTTTCTTAAGATCACAGACTCTGTGTGTGTTAGGGTGTAGACATATGCTAATGACTGGCTGTGTAGGTAAAATTATATTGCAGCAATGAATAAAATACATTATTTTCTTTTAGTAGTAGTTAGTTAGTAGTAATAAGTTAGTTATTACTACTGACTTATGAGTCTGTTTTGAAGATCTGTTTAAAATCCCTTCCGAGCATGATACTAAATTAACTATGTTGTAGAGAACATATAGATGTTGTGTGTTGTACTGTGAATGTCACTTCAAAACAAAAATAAGAGTGAAAATTCGGTGCTGAGAGAGAGAATCACAAACAGCAACTATCTAGTTTGACTCTCTTATGAATGGTTCTCTTGAACTTCTAGACAGCTTATGTTCATGTCCTATAAAGCAGACTTTTTTAAAAAAAAGATTGAAATGAAATAGAGAATAGATTGGAATCATACATTGCAATAATCAATAGTTTGCTTAATTACGGTTTATTGAATGAACTGCCATTGGCTGCATTAATATGATATACTAATATACATCATGCTTTATATACTTCAATAGATGGATTCATACACTGCTTTAAGCTAATTCAAAAGCAAACAATCAACAATATGGCTTAGTATAGTAAAAGTTTTTTTTTTAAGTGTCTGAAGATCAGATCGTAGATCTATGTATTTAAATTCCTATCCATTTGCAGAAGGTGAATGTTTTGTTGTGTTTGTCCGTTGTAATGTATAAATGAAAGAATACTCAAGCTGTTTAATCTAATAGATTCACCAGTGCAAAGTCCTGCTAAACTGAAAGGGATTGAAAAGGATTTATCCATTCAAGCAATCCATTGTCAGAATGTTTCAGTGAGCAAGGCTTTATCTTCTTCAGATACTGGTGAGTTTGGGCTTTCTTTAGAGGTGCGTGGGACATTTTTCAGACAGTGTACACTAATAAACTCATAGCCAGCAAACATTCAGCTTGCATCTGATGGTTTTTTAGGGCCCGTTTGCATGACTACTTTTGAATTGGAAGATACCGGGTTATGTTATTTTTTTCCCCTAAATGCCTGTTCAGTACTGTGGCCAACTTCACACAGAATAATGATGAGCCTAATTTCCATATATGCCATATATGCCAAGTTGAATAATAATATCTAAACTTAACAGAGTCACAGAAATTGAACATTTTGAATTGGAAAGCAAAACGTTTCTGTTGATACCTAGTGCCTCATTCTTGCTTTTATGAAGAAAACATGCTACATGTTCGCTGCATTTTCTACTACATCATAATCTTCCACTAAGAGAGTTATAGTTATGATAATGCCAAAGGAGATATGAAGTATGACATAGGCTGCTTCTATGTAGTATTTATAAAGTACTAGTACTCCAATCTGGGAGAGCCAGTTTGGCGTCAGGCTAGAAACCAGGAGATGTGAGTTCTAGTCCTGCCTAGGCACAAAGCCAGCTGGGTGACCTTGGACCAGTCACTTTCTCTTAGCCCTAGGAAGAAGGCAATGGCAAACCACTTCTGGGGTCGGGGGGGAACACCTTGCTAAGAAAACTGCAGGGACTTGTCCAGGCAGTCTCCAAGAATTGGGCATGATTGAACTCATTAAAAAAAAAAAAACTACTCCAGCCTGCTTCTAGCTGTAGAGATTCTGTGGGATTTCTCCAGAATTTGTCATGCTAATGGAGGGTTTTTTTTTTCTTTCTTATAAGCAGATTACGATATGTCATAGAGACAGGAATTTCTGCCCCTATTTCTAATTATTTCTTACATCTTTTGAGATACTATCCACACTCAAGTCAGGGAGTAATAGTGAATACAGCCATTATAGCTACCCTTCTCTGTCAACATTTTTGAAAAGGAACCAAAAGGAAAAACCGGAGAAAAATATGCATTCCATTTTAATGAGTGCTGCTTCTAATCACTGGTATTTAATTATAAGAAACTGGTCGATAGAAATTGAAAAGCAGATCTGCTTCTAAAGAGTTTAGGGCTAATTTGATATGAAACAGTTCCTTACATAACCTGCTGCTGTTCAAATATTGTATTTTGAGTACATGTAGAGTATACTTAAACTTTGAACTATCTCTGTTGATAAAACGCAAGCAAAATTCTCAGAGCTGTTTGATGGAGTGCAGAGCAATGGAAAAATATTGGCTTAGTATGTAAGGTATTGAATTTTAATTTATGTAAAACATTACATTTCTACTAAAGCATTGATTCTGTATTGTGCACTTGGTTATTTTATCTAGTTATTCTCTTATTTATGTATTTATTTTGGCAGAGTTACTGGTGTTGAATGGCACAGATCCTGTGGCTGAAGTAGCCATTCGACAGCTCAGTGAGTCTGCAAAGCAAAAGCTCAAATCTCCCAGAAAAAAAAGCACCATCATAATATCAGGGATTTCAAAGGTACAAAATAATCGTGATTGTTTTTTATTTAATGAATGCAAGATCAGTTTTCATCTTTTTTCTATTAGAATTTCTTAAAAAACCCCACTGGATTTATTTTGCATTTTGCAGCTGCATTTCTAGACTAAAACATACATGATTTCCCAGAGAAGAAAAGACATTCCTCCTGAATATTGCAAGCATCAGAAATATTGTAGTAACTGTTGCTAGAGCTTTTCATATAATGCAGTAAAAACAGAGAGCAATCATTTGTGCTTCCCTGTATGACACTCAGGGTAAAAACTACCACCACTGGGACTCAGGCAGTGTATAAATTTAATGAGTTAATTAATTAATTAATTAAATTTTGTCCAGAAGTGAAGAGAAAGTACTTTTCTTCATGCTTGCACAAGACCACTTCTAATTTTGTTACTGAAACCTATGTTGCAATATCCACGGTGGTTTGGTGGTATTAAAGACACTCCTGGCAATCGTTGGCTGGTACTGTCAAAAATATCCCGTCTGTTAAGAGAATGATGCTGTGAGTACATTAATGAGCTCAGAAATAAATATGTATGCCAAAAAGGTGGGCAGAAGAAACTGGCAGTTGAAGAAAGGGAGGAGAAGGGAGTCTGGGCAAAACTTTACATAAGCCCTTGGGCAAGAGGGGTCATGTGCCACTGATGAGAAGGAAAAGAACAGGCAAAAAATGGCTAAGGAGGCGAGGTCCAATTCCTAAGAGATGCTGCACCATTGGATGGTTTTGTAAAAGAATGACATCTTGCAAATTTTATCCATTCCTGTTGTTCTAGCCCAATAACTAAGGATCTGCGGGCTTGTATTTCCAGACAGGCTCCCTCTTTCATTATCTACAGCTACTCATTTTATAAAAGAAGTATTTTTATTAACTTTTATTTTAAAAGTTATTTTAAACTGTAAGAATAAAATAGGGGAAAGTGAGCATGGTTGTGAAATTAAAGGAAGCCCATTTTATACATCCATTGCGCTGTCCAAGTGTGCATGGTGGAACAATTCCACAAATATCTAGGCATACCTTAAAATTATTTTTGATCCTTATTGTTATTCCAAACTAATAGTGTTTTGGCTTCTGTATTTGATTTTCATGTTCTAGACTAATTTATCTCAGGACAGCAAAACTGCACTCATGATGGACTATGCAGCAGCCATGGATGGCTCCTGTAAACACGATGATACTTCATGTGTTGAAGGGTGTCTTGCACAATCCCCTTCTGATGAAAAATTATCACTGTCTGCCTCCCAAACAATATCTGCCCTCGAAGAACCCCAGGAACACAGCCATGGTGCCTGGACTTTAGATGACAGTAGCCGTCAATGGCACAACGCACTACTAGACCAAGACTGTGATAAGATATCTGGGAGCTCTGTAAGCATCTCAGAATCTGAAACTGTGAAGAAATCCAAAGGTATGATCCTTTTCTTCTTAAAGGGGTATCAACAGTGCGGCCTTCTCCAGCCAGGCATTTTCTAGGCATTCTTGGAATTGCAGTCCAAACCTTTTTATAGGGCCAAAATGTGGGAAGCTGCTGTAATCAGTCTTCTATTTAAACCATGGAAGGCAATATCACTGAGCCTAGGGGCACACCTAGAACTTTTATAGCATATCACTGGGGGTCCCCCAAAAGGAGTTGTGAATGGGGTTAAGGGAAGCTGGACTTGCACATTTACAAAAGGGATCCTATGGTGGGAATGACTAGTCTCAGAAGACCATTTACTGGAGGATAAGCTGCCAATACTTCTTGCCACTTCCTGTTCTACTCTACTTTTTCCTGGCAATTCTTTGGAAGAGTCTTCTAAACAGAGCTACCATGTTGCTATTTTGTTTTATTTTTAAACTATGTCTTTGGAAAAAACCAAACACACACTTAAAAAGTACAGAAATTAAAAAGAAAAACAAATGACATAAACAAAAATTATGTGTGTGTACAGCAAAGCCTATCTTTGTGATTCCTTAACATTTATGTGTTATTCTAGAATGAATTGTTCCTGTGAAAATCCACTTATTTGTCTTTTGAATTGAAATCTTTGTTTTCTCACCTATGTAACAGATCATTATGTAGTGATGTGAACAAGCATATTCAAGCCCTTTTCATTAAGCTATTGGCACTTTTAGAGAACTCAAAACTAGTGGTAACTTCATATATATACAGCATGTACTGGGAGGGTACCCTGTAACATTTGAGAGTATTATGCAATTCTTCTGGATCAGGTTTACATGCCACATTTACCTAGAACTAATTAGAATTTCTCACCATACGGACAAGCAGTCTAGAAAATCCCCATGACACCAATTGCAAGTGAGGGTATGAAGTTGTACAGCTTTACATGTGAAGCAGTCCTAAAAAAAAACAAGAAGTGAATAAAGAGACTCTTTTGTGGATTCTTGGGATTTCAATCTAAGACATAGCATATCAGGCACCACTTGTGATTTTTTTTCTCTTTTGCACAGCAAAGCAGCACGAGCCTTTAGATTTGATTCTAGGGAATATTCCTTTCTTCCTACTCTCTCAGCTTCCTGCACAGATAACATTGGCCATAAAGCAATCAGCAGCAGCTTGAGTTAGAAGTGACTACCCAAGCATACTCATGCCAAATGAGTTCTCTACTGGCAGAGTAAAATTCCCTACATCTAATAGTCTACATTGTTCTGTATGCAGTCTAGAAGGTTGGCTAAATATGAATATTGTTTCTCCTATATTCTGTCCCTACTTAGAAATAAGTAAGGTGTAATTGTGCTGACTGACTTTCACTCTCTTGAGCTGGCCTTCTCTCTACAGATGTCTCCTTTCTCTCTCTCTTAAGCTTTTCATGAAAGCTATCTACAATGTGTAGATTTATTCCACAGCAGTCTTTTTTTGTTCCTTCAGTGGATCTTTAGACTCTTTCCCATGTATGATCACTTCAGGAGCCTTGACCAGGCTCTCCTGGAAAAATCAAATTTTCACAGCGAACGCAGTCTAAATTCATCTTGGTTTACCATTTCCACTTCTTCTTTCTCCTCCCCAGAAGTTTTGTTTGAAGTCTCCTCCTTTCCAATTAGCAGTAGGCCCCCTTTCTTGTGTGAAAGTTATGAGAACTTATGCTATCTCTCTTATGCTCAGCTTCTACTTATCAGCTAAAAATAATAAATTTTATTTTTGTACTGGCTTGTCCTGTTTTTGAAGTATAGAACCTTTTATTTCACTCAAGAACACAGCCCCTCAAAGTTGTATCTCTGCTCATTGTCTCCTAAAGTGCTAAAGAGAGGTTGAAACGAAGTGCAGAAAAAAAGTTTGAACCTTTTTTGACCCATTTTCCTCAAAGTCCTTTTCCCACAGCCAGCCTGGAATCTAGAAATAAAGGAAAAGCTTCCCACAGCCAGCCTGGAAGCTTTTCTAAAGGAAAAGCATACATTAAAGTAAACTTTCTTGTCTGAAATCAAGTTGACTATGTATTTACTTCTCCCAAACTTCTGTAATTCTTGGCATATTTTTGAAAAAAAAATTCTATGTTGTTCAAAATATGCAAATATTGTAAGCTCTTTTACAGGAGTTTTTCTTTGAGGTAATAAAGCTAAACAAAGCTGGTATTGGTTTTCCTTATAATATTAATTCTGATTTTTTAAAATACAGAAATTTGAAGAAAAGCCTACTCAATAGAAATATTGAGAAATATATCTGCATATAGCCATAACATGCCAAACTAAGGCAATGTTTAATTTAAAATGACAGCTTTATTTTAGTTGGATATCTACCATATTTGTACTATCATGCAAAAGTCATATAATAATAGGAACATTCGATGTCTCATTCCTTCTTCCAGTTGGATAATCCAGTTTCTTTTTATTTCTCCTTTGTACTCCCTATTTATCCCCAAAAGATTAAATGTATTTGAATACATTGTAGACCTAAAAAAAAAAATCTGAAAAATATTATTTCTAGACTTAATTGCTACTGAAGTACTATTTGAGGTTTAATTTAAAAGGACTAATTGGTAAAAAAAAAAAAAAAAGCTATTAAAAAGGAGCCTGAGTTGCATTTATAATAGCAACAAAACTTGATGAGCGGGTTTGAAATAAAACCTACTCATTCAGTTAAGCTGGTTTACTGTCCCAATCAAGAGAGATAAATATATGCTTTAACCTCTTTTTTGAAACTGGAGCGAGTTCAAAGTGTTTTCTTTTAGCTGGACTTTATCCATGTTTTTTTAGTCGCTGATTCAGCAAGTCCATGTTGTTTGTTTCCTGACGGATAACTAAGAAATCTATTTGAACACGTACTTTGTCTAAGTCAAGGAAACTTCCTATGGAAAGCCTCTTTCTTGTTCTGTCTAGTCATTCCTAGTAAGAGATGGCTAACTTTTTTTTAGCACAAAAGTGATGCTTGTATGAAGTGATGACCAATATATAATGTCTAGTCTTGTGTTTCATTGTCTCAGTTGTTTTCTTTCAAAACATGCCCAGCTGTCAGAAATGTTGAGTCATTTGATGCACTTGAATCAGTATATCAAATACACTTAGAGCCAGAGAAGCTGCTCTTGATACGTTTCAGTTTGTTAGTTCTGAGCAAGGTCCACAGGCACATGAAATGTTATGGTGATATAACTAGTGGACTTAAGAACACCACCATTTCAGTCTCAGCTCATCTTCCTCTGGGATTAATGCTTGTTGTTCAGGAACCACTGGTGGTCTGCAAGGGTAATGAGGGTTGTTCCTGGCATTTTGGTATCCAAAATATTTATGTTATGGTAAAATGTATATATTCTTATGAGATTTGTCATTTTCAGCTCAAAATCTTATCAGATTTTAGGTGGGAGTCTAAAATCTCCTGAGATTTTGGCCATTTCAACTTTTTTAAAATTTGAGGGTACCGCAGACACCATCTAGAGAAGGCATGTACCATGTCGGCAGCTCTTGCCTTTTGCGGTGGTCCTCAGAAACATTAAGGAATTATTTAGAGAGAGAGAAAAAAAAATCTGAATCCCTGGATTACAGCGTACACCATCCATGGCCAGCATTTATGAAAATGATAGGAACTGTGATCCAGTACAGCTGTGGAGCATTCAGTTGCTCTAGTTTAGGGAACTTCAGTGTTTCAGATAAAGCTGATTTGTGAAAAAAATCAGTTAACAATATATTTTCATTGTTGCAGGTGGAATATTAAAAAAGAGTGCGAAGTTATTTTTTCTTCGACGACACCATAAAAAAGACCCAGGAATGAGCCAGTCCCATAATGATCTCTCCTACCTACAGCAACCCAGATCTGATGGTACTCAGAAAAAAGGAGGAACCTTAACACGAATTCTAAACAAGAAAATTACTTTCAAGAGCAAAACCAAACTGAATGGATCATCAGTTGGATCGTATACATAAATTCTAGAACCTGCCAAATTGTATCAGCTGCACATGACCAATTGTTTACAGAAAAATAAACTATGATATCCAGAAATCATATGATATTTCTATGATATCCAGAAATCAGAAGGGGTCTGGGATCACCTTTGCAGACTAACACATTTTATTAAAAGCTATACACTTTCAGAGACTGATGAAACAAGCTGCAGCTCATGCAAGTATATAGCCTTTAGTGAAGTCTGAAAAGGTGCTACCAGATTCCTTCTGATTAATGATCTGAGAAATGTTTTACTTTGCAACTGTGTTTATGTTTGTGCACACATGTATGTATGTGTATAGGAACAATTCCTATTAACTGTTAACAATTAAGCAGTGGGGCTTAATGCCAGATAAAAATGCATAGTATTGCAGCCTTAAGATGTTTCTGGAGGGAAAATAAAATATTGAATCAGGAAACCTGATACAGTAGTTGATAAACACATGTAAAATGGTATTGCTTTTGATAGATGCTAGTAATACAAGCTGGTAATTTATATAATTACTTATTAGGAATCTAATTTTGTTGTTCTGTAGATATCCTTTTAATCTAGGATAAAGTGCCCACAAATTAAGTGAAGCTTAATTTTCTTACTTCCACAATACTTGGAAACAGCATTGCCAATATTGCAATGTGCCTTGGAAGCCTAAGATACAGTATATAAATAATTTAATAGCAGCATACGGAGGGGTAACATTGAGTAAAGCATGCTGAGTCTTTTTAAATTCCCACAGTCGTATTTCTGCTTTGACACAGATTGCTTCTTAGAAAAAAACAAGGGGAAGTGTTCCCCATTTCTTTATATTGGATATTCTTCCTTATTAATTGATATTTTTTTAAAAAATACATTCCTTAGTGATGTTGTGTATTTTACCAAATATTAAGTATTCTGACAAATATATTACCAATAATTTTGGTATATGTGGCTTGATTGTAGATTATAGAATCAAGTTCTATTACTTTTATTCAGGGAGAATCTGGTGCCAGTTCCATCACTGTGGTTTAAATCAATAAATGAAGAGGGTTCATTAAAATAAGGTGGTTCCTCCTGTGGATTGGTGATTTGCATAAACTGCATAATGGTATTAAGAATACAACCTTTTGAAGGTAAACATACAAAATAATATTACTGAAATGAAACAGCAATTTCTGGAAAGTTGTACAAGTTCTAATTTGTGTAATGAATGCATATTATAGACAGACTGCTAGAGAATTACCTATATGAAATACTTTATTCCCATAGTAAGTACAGGTAGTCCTTGCTTAACTACCCTAATTGGGACCAGAATTTGCATCACTAAGTGAAGCAGTCATTAGGCAAACATCCAGTGGGAGGAAGAAGATAGCAAAGGTCAGCAGGGAGAGGTGGGGGACAGCGGGTGAGAGGCAGCAGCAGAGTGGCCAAAAGGGCAGAGATGGGAGGGGAGATAGGTGGGTTGCGGGAGTTGAAGCATACACTGTGGTCCTAAATGCAGGCAGGGTGCCAAGTGCCCAAATTTTAATCACGTGACTGTGGAGTGCTGCAACTGCTATAACTTCAAGGACTGGTCATAGCTACCATTTGTTTAGTGGCGTCGTAACTTCAAAAGGTCGCTGAATGACTGGTCGTTAAGTGAGGACTGCCTGTGCTATGATTATCTTAAACACATTTCCTTGGAAGTAAACCCTGTGATTATCATAGGACCTGCTTCCAAGTACCTGGATTTAGGGTTGGTTTGCATGACATTCAGTCATGTCTTTTTGTTTTAATTGTATAGCTTTATGATGGCACATAAGCAGATTGAAATGCCAAATTAAAAACAAAAGGACTTGCTGCTGTATCTCTTACAAATACTTGAAGGCATTTAAAACTGTTATTTGAATTACTCAAAACGATGTTACTGGATTTTAAAGAAAGGAACCAAAGGTCTGGCCTGTGGTTTGTATTTTTTACCTTAAGCACTTTAATAGAAATGTGTAGCATCCTGATACTGCAGTGGAATGATGTACTGACCAACATTATTTCTTTTCAAAGCAAAATGATTATATAAGAAAGAGACAAGTTGCTTCATAAAATCTAAAATATAGTTAAGATGTAAATCATTGGAAACATCTTGCTCATATTCTACTGAAATGAACTGAATATTTATGTCCCATTTCAATAGAAAAGAGAAGCTTTGCAAAAACTCTGATTTTGCCTCATATCACTTGATGACACATGGGTTACTTAATTGCCTAAAAAGGATTAGATTAATATCGTTGTCTTCCTTTTTTAACATTTAGCTTACCCAAATATGTCCAACACAACTATTGCAATTATTAATTAGTAGTGTTCAGAGAAACTGAATGCTTTTCGAGATTACTTCAGTCAATAGGTGGTGTAAGGTGACACTTCAAGTTGCATGCATGGAAAGAAAATGTAGGATTTTTTATGGCACTCAGGCAAAGTGCAATTCTCTTCTTTCCACATGTCTCCTGGTTAGATTTTTGAATGCTTTTATGAGATTTATATGGATCATAACCATAGCATAGGCACCCTGGAATAGAGTCAGAAGTTTAAAGTCTTCTAACTTTACACATGGGGAACATACTATTGCAACACATGCAATAGAATATTAATCACTCTACTTATTAACATTTATTATTGATAAAGCTACTTTTTCAATGCAGCATGAAATCGAGCAACATTCTATAGCAGCACATCTTCTCTCCCATTAACTATGATGATATGATTATGGTCTGATTTCAAAGATAAACCCTAAAATTGTGGGGTGCATCTATAGTAGTTGAATTCATTCAGTGATGGGTGTTTTAGATTAAGAATAAGAAGAAACCAGACTTCTGAAATCTATTTTTGTGTTATTATTAATCTTAGAATCTCATCTATAGTAGTATCATGATGCAAAGAGGCATTATGCTTAGAATTTAAAATAATTTATTTTGCATATTGGAACTAAATCTGGCTCAGTCTTTCGCTACAAAATCCTACTAACTCCAAGCTCTCCATTTCAGCAGTAGAAGCTAGGAGTCATTTCATTGCAATTGTTAAAGAAGAAAATCTGTATTGCATGATATATCAATATATTCCAATATATTTTTCATTCTACCATTTTAAGCATCCGTATTCCTTTAGAAGTAGGATTTTTATTTTGTGAAAAGCTGACTTGATATTGGTTGTACTTTAAGCAAAATTGAGAAAGGGGAAGACCTACATAACCTTATAAGTTATCCTAAAATGTGCATCAGCTATCTAACCTTGAAGGAAATCTGTAAGAAGAATGATTTTTTTCTTCTGTCTCAGATACAATACAGGTAATCCTCGCTTACCACCACTCATTCAGTGACCGTTCAAAGTTGCAATGGTGCTGAACGAGTGGTACTTATAACCTGTCCTCAAAGTTGTGGCCATCACAGCTCCCCTGCGGTCATGTGGTCACAATTTGGGCACTTGGCAACCAGCTCACACTTAATTCCATTTGTGACCTTCCCTGCTGCCTTTGCTCAAGCAAAATCAGTGGGGAAGCTGGCAGGCAAGGTTGCAAGTCACTCTGGTAAGTCCCGCTGGGCTTCCTGCACTTGCACTGGACCATCCACCCCCCCAAGCTTCCTGTGCTCATACACGACCTGCAGCAGCTCTCCCAAGCCCTCCCCCGGCTTCCCCCAACTCACATGTAGCCTGTTCCAGCTCTCTCAGGGCTTCTCCCCAGCATTCCTGTGCTCCTGGGACTCCCGCCGCTTCCCACTTAATGACCTATGTGTCTTGCCGGGATTGTCATCGCTAAGCGATATGATCACATGATGTTGCGCTTTACGACCGTATTGCTTAGCAATGGCAATCCCAGTCCCAATTGCTGTTGTAACCCAAGGACTACCTGTATGATACCACGGAGGGAAAGTCAAGTTGAAGAGTTGGAGGTACTAAGTGGTAAGGACCATATTAGAACTGATGGAGGAAAGATCCTTCCACAGGGTAAAGGGCTCAGTTTAAATGCAGTGGCATTTGCATCTATTGTCCTGTGGCCCTACTGTTTCTACACTGTTAGAAGGATGCAAAGGATATGCACTAAAAGCTGGATTTTATAAAAAAACATATATAATGGAAACTGTTATTTACTTGGTGAATCATCAACTCAGAAGAAAGGAAGCAACCACTGAATATTTTTGCAATGGGATCTGAAATAGATTAAGCAGGTTTGATGATTTGTTAATTTACCTGTGTTTACCTTTGTCCTTTAAAACAGCTATGAAGAATTTGGCATTTGATTTAAATGCTGAGAGAGAAGTAGGAATACTGTATGCCAGATTCCACATTTACTATTTTCCTGATTTACATTCTGCCCTCCAACAGTTTTTAGGCTGAGCATGGACGATAATTGCAAAGTCTCCTTTTCATATCTAAGAGAAGCTTAGCATTTATACCAGGAAACTAGCCTATTGACAAAGAACTTTATATTGTTTCCGGTAACATTGATTCTTTGATAAGATTTGGAGATTTAATCACTGCTGCAAATATTTTAAGTACACCACTGTTGGTAATCCCTAATGTGGGAAACATTGTATATTATTTTAAATAATGCTATTTTATTGAAAACTTCTGCTTTTACATTATTTCTTAAAAGCAGCTGGAAGTAGGGCCATGCATGCTTGCTTCAGTTGTTTGCTATATATTAAACAGGCCAAATCTTTCAGACTTCTGTGGGTGTCAGAAAAAAAAAAGTTGCTGCTTTAAGGAATTCATTCATTAATCTTAATATGGCTCTTAAAGTAGAGCACTTTTTTTCAGGCAAGCGCAGAAGCCTGAAAAAAAAGATGTGCATGCTTTAATGAATAGCTGTCAGTCCTACAAGGTAGTCCAGACAAGAAGCACCAACCATGAGTATTAACACTACCTTTATTGTAAGGTTGCAATAACAGAATCGTGCAAGTCTGAATGTACATCTCTCTCTCCCCCCCCCCCACCTTTACAGTCCAAGAAACTAGGGAGGGTCCATTCTGAGACGTTTGCCATGGTCCCATTCCTTCCGTGGGCTGAGCTGCCTCTTATCTGACCATTGCCTAGTCTGTGGCTCATCCTCCTGTTTCTCAAGGATATTCAAAGAGATCATTATGATAGCAGAGAGGTGCTACACTAGCATGAAGTCCAAAGTATTTATTTCAAATTATTTTCAGCATGTGCACCACCCTAGTTGGAAAACAATCTGCAATTGCTTTCTCTTCTAATATAGAAATGCTAAAGGTGAAAGAATCGTTCCCTCTCTTTTGTGGGAGAACAAAGATTCCCTCATTCCACTCAAAAGGAAATGATTCCACCCCCCACCCCCTGCCCAAGGCTATGCACATCCCTATTTTAAGCTCTAGGTATTTGTCTGGTCCTGTGCAGAAAGTAGTAGTTGGGAGAGTAGATAGGAGTTCCCATAAATAGGGAAAGAGCTGTCTGTAAACTGTACAGAATGGCAACATTTCAACAAAAATGTGAGTCTTACTGTTTTCAAATAAATCTCATCTAAGCCCAAAATAAAACAGGTCAGCTATTGTGGTATCAGGCTGGGCCAAAGTTGCTTTTAAATGGATGCAGAGTGCTTCTGTGGAAGATCCCCAGAGTGAAATGTTTAAGTCTCACAAGGTTAAAGAAAGGCAATGAAAATTTAGACCTGATCAAAGAATATTAATAAAATTGTTTTAATTCCTGCAGATTATTTTCTTAATGTATCTTTCCCCTACAGGATAGGATCTGAAACTAGTATTGGAAAGTCTAATGTGGCGTGTCTGAAATATCAAATTTTGTAAATAGCGATCTATGTATCAATAAAAATAGAACAAGCAGTTTGGCTTAAGGAATGGGCAGGGGCCCCAATTGGCAGGGCTTGATTGGGAATAAGGGGAGTTCTAATCTAGTGCATTTAGCAGATGCCAAGTTTGAAAGGATTGCAGTGAAGCCTCTCCCGACAATTTTCCTCTGTAACAGCAACAGAAAACTTTGTAGGTTTTTGTAAAGAGAGAATTATTAGGCTGTAACTATGTAACAGCTTTTATAATATTACAATATCCTCTTGGG